GAAAGAAAGAAAGAAAGAAAGAAAGAAAGAAAGAAAGAAAGAAAGAAAGAAAGAAAGAAAGAGGCCAGCTGGGTATTATCCTCAAAGGAAGTCACAAGATGCTTTTGAGATGTTCTGAAACGATAATTACACGTCAGGAACAAAAACACAAAAACAAAACAAGTGTACAACATTCCTTTCTAATTGTTGAAACAAATGTCTTAGGCTAAGTGCAACAAAAACATTAAGTGAAAACTCCCTAAAGAGGTATGTACTTTGGGTAAAACGTGAACACTGCAACAGTTAACAAGAGGTAAACCTTAAAAAATTTCAAATAATATATTGATAAAACTGAATGCTATATATTTAATATACAATAAAATAAAAAAAAATACACTGCTGAATATGTATATGTGAGAGAGGGAGAGAGAGAGAAAAAGAGCAACAGAGAGAGAGAGAGAAATGAAATAAAAAGCTATATTTTTGTTAAACGATTTTCCCTGAAAACCCTTAGGTTACACAAAACTTTTCCAGCGCAAATGTAATTATAAAAAGTATTCACCCACTGGGATATTTTATGCTCTTATTACCATTATAAATCAATCATAGTCACTATAAATTGACCTTATTTACAAAATATTATCAAAAAAAAATCTTATTCTTCATGCTTAAATGAAATCAGGATTTTTTTTTGTAAAGGGCTATTTTTATTTACCATAATGGATTCATGACAGCAATAAAAGCACCCAAAGGGGTGAATACTTTTTTAAGCACTGTAAATATGCCACTACATCTTTTAAACTATTGATGGCTGATGTATAAAAACTTGACACTGTGAGTTCAACTGTAAAACTTCAGACTGATGAATGTCTAGAAGCAAGTGGCTTTTTGAGACCCCATGAAACCTAAAACGTACCTTCCATCTATTTCCACACTGTTGGCAGAAAACGAACGTGGTCATCGGCTCATCAGCACTACGAGTTTGAACCTGTGAATGAGCAAACAACAATAGAACTATTTTAATTTCTCACCATGTTACAGAACAACAAACATAAAATAAATGTTTTTTTTATATTAGTTTGTTGACTAACACAACAACAACTGGAAGCCATATTACAGACTGTTGTGATAAAATAAAATCTGTACTAATGTCACTACATACAACACAAAAAGACAAGAGTGTTGAATCTACCTGTGTGTAAGTGCAGTTCTTCCCCTTGCATTTGCCACAGGTGAACAGATCAGTCTGAGTGCCCCCGGTGGTGGCCATCTGGTGGTCCCTGACAGCTTCTTTGGTCAAATTCTTCCTCATTTCCTTCAGCTCRTCACTGGCCATTTCCTACAGGAAATAACAATATTAATCAGGGTTGCAAATAAGCGGAGCAAATGCGCGATCAAAAAACAGGAAAAGAGCACCAGATAGAACGTCATAAAGCGCACTTGCGTACCTAAGATCCTACCTGATTGTCTGTCGAAACAACAGCTAGCAGTGCTCTAGAGTGTGACCAGTTTGGTCACAAATACGAGCTGATTTCTTAAAAAAAAAATAAAAATCCAGTCACACTGGTGTGACTGGATTGTTGTTCGGTGCTCACCAAGCCGACAGCGGGACCCTGACATAAGGATTAAATGG